TACACTTTTAAAAAAGTCTGTTAGGATTACCAAAATGATTTACATTTGCTAAATGCCACAATAATGAGAGAATTCTTTTTTTGAGAATTTTCAAAATAATTTCTAGACAGTCAAAAGTTCATTTCCTTGGTATTTTTAGCTTTGCTTTTAAACTGTATAACTTTGGTCAAATGTTTTAGGTATCCTTCCACAAGCTTCTCACAATTGTTTGAAGGAATTTTGGCCCATTCCTCCTGACAGAATTGGTGTAACTAAGGCAGATTTGTAGGCTGTCTTGCTCGAACAAGCTTTTTCAACTCTGCACACAAATGTTCTATAGGAATGAGATCAGGGCTTTGTGATGGCCACTCCAAAACATTCACTCTGTTGTCCTTAAAGCACATTTCAACTAATTTGGCAGTATGCTCAGAGTCATGGTCTGTTTGGAAGATCCATTTGTGGCCAAGTTTTAATCTCCTGGCTGATGTCCCGAGATGTTGCTTCAGTATTTCTGAAGTGGACCAGTCCCTCCTGCAGCAAAACAGCCCCACAACATGATGCTGCCGCCCCCATACTTCACAGTTGGGATGGTGTTGCTAGGCTTGTTAGCTTTCTCCTTTGTCCTCCAAATGTAACACTGGTCATTATGGCCAAACAGTTCAATCTAAGCTCCATCAGACCACAGGACACGCCTCTAAAAAGTTGTCTTTTCCCCAGTGTAATTTAGCAAATTGTAATCTGGCTTTGTTGTTGATTCTGGCTTGTTGATTTTCCCATGTTGTCACACAAGGAAGCAGTGTGTCTGAGCTTTTCCCTAAATACTATTCTACAGTTGAACTTCCAATTAACTCAAATGTTGTCAGTTAGCCAATCAGAAACCTCCAAAATCTTGACACCATCATCTGAGCTTTTTCCAAGGCATGATAATCTTATTGGACTTAAACTTGACTTTCAAGAAAAGTTATAACAATTTCTCAAAAACATATCTCTATTATTTTGCTATTAAGCAGAACAGAAACAAATTTGATTATCCTAACTTACCTAAAAGTGAAAAAGTTTAGTCACATTAACATCTGACTTTTTTTTAATTGGTTATGTGCCTTTTTATACAGTGTATGTACTTCTGCCTTCAACTGTAGATTCTATGTGTACAAACATTGCTCAAAATACTGCATTAGCATTGTGTTAATGCTCGGTTTTTGTTGTTTTCTCAGTTCGACACAAACGGAGACGGTCAGATCAGCACAGCCGAGTTACGAGAGGCCATGAAGAAACTGCTGGGCCAGCAGGTGCTGTTATTTCCATCTGCAGCAGACTTTCAGCTTCAGCTGATCCTCCCTCACCGCTTTATTGATTCTCTGTCCTTCAGGTGGGTCACCGGGATCTGGAGGACATTCTGCGCGACATCGATCTGAACGGAGACGGACATGTCGATTTCGAAGGTGAGCCTGCAATCAGTAATGCTAATTCTCATGCTAATTTCACAGCCACAGTGGAGAAAACCATCGCAATCATCTGTCCACCTACAGCCAAAACAACATTACATTTACAGTCCCTCAGCAGCTCCTGTCCATATACCGTGTATCCTGCAGGAACATTTAATTATGGAAAGCAATAATTCCAGGGTTTAATCCAGAATTTAATTAGTTTTTGGGGGGTTTCAAAGTTAATAAAGTAGCAATCAGCCTTTTGGAAAGTACTTCAAGGGACATTTCATGAGGGAAATCTACATTTCCTTGGTGTTTTAGAATACAAAAACACACACATGAAGTTCAGAGCTAACTGTTTACAGTCTAAACTAAAAAACAGGCTAATCTACAGTGAAGTTCTCCTGAAATAAAAACATATTTTTTAGGCTGTTATCATCAATATGATTGTCTTAAGCAGGGTTCAAATTATACATTGACGATCAGAGGGGTCAACTTCTTCGATAATGTTATTGTGTCTAATACATCATTCAGTGAATCAAATGTACATATTTATTTAAGTGACATCTATTTTATTAATAAAACATATTTAAGTTTTCAGTGTTTTGCGGGATATTTTTGTGTATTCTGACCTAAAATGTCCTCTGATTAGTTATGTCAGAGGTTTCTGTTGGTCAAACTATACAAACTGTGCATCCATCTAAATTTACTTTACTTACTATACTTATATATATAAATAATATACATAATATATATATATAATTTTTTTCATATTTTATCTTATATTTCTTATTTCATTAAATTTTTTATTTTAATATTTTATTGAATATTTTATTTAATTTTATATATTTAATTTTATATTTTATTGTGTATTTTTATTTTATTTTTAATACTTTATTTTATATTTTAATTTTATTTAAAATTTTACTTTATATTTAAGTTCATATTTTATTGTTTTTTATTTAATTTCATTTATTTTATATTATAATTTTTATTTTATTTTATATATTTTATTTTATTTTTTTATATATTTTGTTTTACTTTATATTTTTATTTAATTTTATTTTATATTTAATTTAATTTATTTTGTATTTTATTTTATTATTTTATCTTTTATTGTATATTTTATTATTATATTTTAATTTTAATTAATTTCTATTTAGTATTTTACTATGTTTTGTTTTTTATTTTGTTTTATATTTTATTTTATATTAAACATTTTTATTTAATTTTAAATTTTACTTTATTTTTTTGTTTACATTTTATTTTATTTTATTTTATTTTATTTTATTTTATTTTATTTTATTTTATTTTATTTTATTTCAGTCAATAGTGTCATTCTGCACCTGGCAGTAAATGAATGAATTATCAGGTTAAATGAAATTACAACAAACTCTGATGCTTAAATATATTCTTTTAATATGTAATGGATCAAATAATCGTTAATAAATATTCTCCATGAGTTTATTTTACACAAAAATATTTACTTAATTTTTTATTTTTTTATATATATACATTTTAAGCTGAATCAGGGAAAAATATTTAAAAACCAGTAAAGATTTTTAGGTTGACAATTTTTTTATTATCAGCTAATAAATAATTTATATAGCAATATATATATATATATTTACACAACTGATAATAAAAAATGTTCATTCCGGGGTTGAAAAAAACCTTGACTATCATAATAAGCAGACATGAATAAATATTAAATAAACATCCCAATCAACCCAGTCATGCTCATTTGCGGATGCTTTATTCAGGAGTCTACACACACACACACACACACACAGTTTAGCTGCTGTTGAATGTGATCACCGCGGTGAAGGCGGTAAAGTGACAGTAGTAGAGCTGTCAACCAGATTATCTCTTAACCGCGGGATTATTTCACCTCTCAGATTAACCACACACAAAAAAAGAGCACGAAAACGGGAAGGACAGAAATAGCCGGCGCTGTTCTTGCGGATGATGATGACTTGAGGTGTGACAGTCCAGCGTCCTCTTGCTGTTTTTGGAGCTTTGACTCATCCCAGGGCGATACTATGCTCGCTTTTTATTTATTTCATTTATTGCCAAAGGAAATGTAGAAAAGCAGGAATTTATAGAGCAGCGGATCCCAAATGATGGGCTGCAAACCAAAATTAGGTCACGGTGAGAAGGGGAAAACAATGCCAAATGCAAGAATAACACTGTGCAGCTGATAATACAGGCAACACTGTGGCTCAGTGGTTAGCACTGCCGCCTCACAGCAAGAAGGTTGCTGGTTCGAGCCTCGGCTGGGTCACTTGCCATTTCTGTGTGGAGTTTGCATGTTAAAATACTTTGTCCTTCCTTGAAGGACATCAGCTGTGTAAAACATATGCCGTAATAGTTTGTAGTTCATTCCACTGTGGTGACCCCTGATGAATAAAGTAACTAAGCTGAAGAAAAATTTATGAATGTGTGAAAGCAAGTGTGTTTCTGTTTGTGTGTGTGTGCGCGTGTGTGAGCATGTGTAAGCGTGTGTGCATGTTTGTGTGTGTGCTTTGTTTGTGTGCATGTGTGCGTATATGTCTGTGTGTGCTGTGCACATGTTTGTGCTTTTGTGTATGTGTTTTTGTGTCTGTGTGCACGCTTATATGTCTGTGTTTGTTAATATATATATATATATATATATATATATATATATATATATATATATATATATATATATATATATATATTGTATGTATATATATATATATATATATATATATATATATATATATATATATATATATATATATATATATTGTATATATATATTCTGATTTGATACAGTACATTTTTGTAATTTTACTACACTGTAAAAATCTATTTGTTACGTTACTTAAAAACGTGGGTAAACCAAAACTTCAGTTAGCTTAATTATGAAATAATAAATAAAATTGTTGCATACAACTTCTTAACGTACAAAGTATAATGTATAAATTTCTGTGCGTTTTTTTCTCTCAGAATTTGTGCGAATGATGTCTCGCTAGAGATAAAGTGGTGAAAGCGTGTCAGAAAGAGGATCTCCTGCTGCGCCAGAGACAGAGGAGAAGAAGAAGAGGAGGAAAGATCAGCAGAAAACCTCACAAGAGGAGCTCTGGGTCACAACCTCTGACCTCACAGCACACCTGAGAGAAACTGCACTGAAACCCTGCATCACAGCGTTTCTGAAGACCACATGCCAATACTGTGATTTACATTTGCTTTACGGGGTTTATTTTCATCCCATTGAAAGCCTTCGAGAGGTCTAATGCAAAAAACATAAATCACAAACATGAAATCCAATATTAACGAAAATACTCAGTATTAAAACATCAGATATATTTCATTTACTGGCATCCGGAAACTGCTGTATGATATCAGGGTGCAACGATTGCAATAACATTTGCTGTTTCATATTTAAGCTATTTATTATTATCTGTAAAGTATATAGAGAGAAAGAGAGATGAGTGTGTATAGTTTTCCCTTTACACTGTAAAAAAAATTATATTAAATTTAAAAAGTTGAACCAATTTACCTTTACCAGTCATTTTAACTTGCATCACTTAAAACATCAAGTTAAAATCTGATTAACTTAAAAAAAAATAATAATAAGTTGCAATGCTAACTTTCTAAATTAGGCTAAAGTGCTGGATGTACGTTTCTGACACTTCTAAAGCAGAAAAATACCATAATATTTTTGCAGATATTTAAGAAACATGCTAAGTGCACATTGTTTATCTGAAAAACAATACTGAAGTCAGATATTCTGCTTTGAAAATGTGAGTTGCGTGCCGGAACGACTGTCTTTGTTTTGGTTCTTTTTACCCGCCCAATGCCAGTTTAGCCAATTATATTTCAGCACCCCGGGTTGCCTTGGTGGAAAACAGCGTATTTCATTCATTAATTCAGTCATGAAAGCTCTCATAGCATGCATCCACGAAAGAAATGTGACCTCTGGTGGACAGTAGCAGACTCCGAAATGAGAAGCAGATTCAGAGTTCCACGAGGTGGTTATTAATTAGCGAATAATATAAATATTATGAACGTAAACATTAGGTGAGCAGGTTACATTGTAACCCCGTGTCCTAACAACACGCTACGTGACGAGATTTGCAGTGATAAGCAATTTGACTGTTTGCACCGGACAAAACATGACAGAAATGTAAATTCAGCCATTCAGAAGCACAGAATAGTGCATTTACTGCACTCCAACGAAATGGTAAGGTTTATAATCTAATTGAAACATATTAAACCTCTCTAACATTATTAAATGTAGATGCGGAATCACTGATATATGTTGGCTTGCACTGAGACACAGTTCTTAAGTTAAATTTCAAACGGTTTATTTTATTTCTCAGATCTGAGGTGAACTATCTGCTGCTGCTTTCAGTAGTATGGCAATAAATGTCATGTAAAATGGCATTCAAACTCACATTATTAGCATTTAACACTGAATAAAGCACATGGGGTGAACCTGAGCTGATCATTGTCAGTTTTCTGTTGTTCAGCTGTGAGAAATAAAAGCTGTTTCTAATATACTAACCTGATGCCAAAAAAGTTAGGACACTGTACAAATTGTAAATAAAAAAAGGAATAAATAAAAAAGGAATGCAATAATTTACAAATCTCATAAACATATTTTATTTACAATAATATATATATATATATATATAATATATCAAATATTGAAAGTGAGAATTTTCAGGCCAAATGTTGGTTCATTTTGGATTTCAAAACAGCTAAACATTGCAAAAAAGTTGGGACAGGTAGCAATAACAGGCTAGAGAAGTCAAATGTACATATTAGGAACAGCTGGAGGACCAATAATCCACTTATTAGGTCAATTGGCAACATGATTGTGTATAAAAAGAGCCTCTCAGAATGGCAGTGTCTCTTAGAGGTCAAGAGCAGAGGATCACCAATTTCCTCAATGCTGCGCCAAAAAAATTGTGGAGCAATATCAGAAAGGAGTTTCTGAGTGAAAAATTGCAAAGAGTTTGAAGTTATCAGCATCTACAGTAATATTGTCCAAAGATTCAGAGAATCTGGAACGATCTCTGTGCGTAAGGGTCAAGGCCGGAAAACCATACTGGATGCCTGTGATATTCGGGCCCTTAGACAGCACTGTAGAGATCTGCGCGGGACTAAATTTTGAATCCCGTTCCCGCCCGCACCCGCCAGGTTTTAGCCCGAACCCGACCGCTCCTGCTTATATTAAGAATTTATTGTCCCGCTGCCCGACCCGCCCCGTTTTCTGGCCGCCGCACCAGATCCCGCTAAAGAGCGGGGGGAGAACAAAACCGAAAATCCCCCAGCTATACAATCCAGACAGCCAAGCTGTCTGTATAAACACACAAACAAATCTCTCTCTCTCTCATACGCGCGTGCGCACACACACAAGCACCAAGCAGACACACAGGCGTTTGCTGTTATATCAACTCAAAGGCTTGTTCCGGCGCGGATGCGGCAGCGTCGGCTCGCTTACGGCCGCCGCATCTGGCCCGATTGATTTGGGCTGGAATCGGGCAGTGAGTCCACAAGCATCCGGAGTCCGGCAGCCAGAGCCGGGCTGAGTGGTAAGTCTCCGGCAGGCGAGAATCTAGCCGGAACTGGCCTGAGTGTATTTCCCATCCTATCTGGGAAAGCTCTCTCTCTCTCTCTCATTCGCGCGCGCGCGCATTAACATACACACACACACACACACACACAAACACTAAGCACACACACAGGCAAAGCTCGCTCTCGCTCCCTTTCTCTCTCTCTCTCTCTCATTCGCATAGCACTATCCGCGATATTGCTAGAGAGCTCACTCCCGTCCCAAATTAAACCCGTTACCGACCGCTCCCGCGATTTATTCGGAAATTTATTCCCGCGCCGCAGAAATCTGGTCGGGTCCTGCGGCGCCCGCGGGACAGCCGCGGGAATGCAGACCTCTACAGCACTGCATCATAAACAGGAATGCTACTAAGATGGAAATCACAATATGGGCTCAGGACTACTTTCAGAAAACAATGTCGGTGAACATAATCCAAAACAAAGACAGCCGTTCCGGCACGTAACTCACATTTTCAAAGCAGAATATCTGACTTCAGCATCCTTTTTCAAATAAACAAGAATGTTCACTTAGCATGTTTCTTAAATATCTGCAAATATATTACAGTGTTTGTATACTTTAGAAGAGTCAAAAACTCACATACAACACCTTTAAATCAGCCTTTAGGCTAATGTCGTCAATCTGGCAACCTGCACTTGTGTGTGTTTTGAACCAGGCATGCAATACCTAGTTCAACCACTGGGTGTCAAACTTACAAACTGAACCTTTAAAGTAATGTGGAAACATAAGTTATCATGACTTTTTGTTACTGTATATAATACTTTTTTACAGTGTAATAGACTGTTTTACAGTAGCCTATATGACGTATTAGATTATTACTCACAAAAAGATTTTATTTTATATAAGGATGTTCTGGGAAATGCTGGAAAACTTTGCTATCAGTCATTTGCTATACATTGGACCTATGCACTATGGTATGAGTGGAGATATGTTTTGTTTTTTGCGAAGAATTTGCCATAAAAGTACACAAAAATGCCCTTGTTTGCACACTGTCCTGCATGAATGCTAGTGCTGATGATCTGAATCAACACAGCCAGTAGCCGATACAGTTTTGTCATGTATTTAAATGTTAGCTGATAGTTAAATGAGAGTTTCTGATCTCATTTCAGACATACGCAAATTCGTGTGTGTGTTTGTGCTGATTTTGGTGGTTTACAAGGAGGGCTTAATTTGTGCTACGCACGCTAGATCCGGCACCTCTGAAATCTGACCTGGCACCTCATTTGACCAATTCTTCTCCTCAACTGCCCTCCTCCCCCGTCCGCTGTTCACTTTCACTTTCATTCGCGACTCCCCAATCCTCTTCACTATTGTCCGCGACAACCTCTGCTCTTCAATTTCATCCTTTATTCACAACACCCCTCTGCCATCCAACACCCTGCCACGCCACCCCCCCCATCCCCCCACCCTTACTTTTGTCGGCGACAACCCCTCCATCCCCAGTCTTCACTTTCGTCCGTGACAACACAACGCCCACCCTCCCGCTCTCCACTTTCGTGCGCAACACCTCTCCATCCTCGAATAATTGCCAGATTTGTTACCCCGATCTGTTCCAGGATCTTGTGATTCACAAATTAAGCACTGTTTACAGGGATAGTAATTTGTACAGTGACATGCATATGACCTTATACTTTATTATGGTGCTTTGTGAGGACTTGAATTGTGTCCTCATAATTCAAAATGCTTCAAAGTCATTCTTAAAAATACCCATGAAATCCAAACTAACCATACTGATTTTGTTAGCTCGCATTGCTCGTTTTGTGGTGAACAATTCATCTGTGCATGTCATCAAGACAAATAAATAGTTTGCTCTTGTAATCTTTAATTGAAATCTGAATATGCACTTTCTGTTTGTTTTTTAGTTAAATTGTCAGATTAGGTCTGTCTGAGGTATTGGGCGTGGCTAACATACTTAACCGCGCCCCTCCAGCTGTCAGTCTTGACAGCGAACAGAAATGGTGAGCAGGAGGAGTCTGTTAGGCTGTAATAGATCTCCCAAAACCCTTTGCCCCATCTTTCTGAATGAATCGCCAACTTTACTACATCCAATCAGCTCGCAGTATAAAAAAACAAGCCACGCCCACTGTTTACTCATTTAATATTCCGTTTCTCTTGGAACTGCTTCACAATATAAGAAACGATCGCCGCTTCTGGTTCATCTGAACTTTAAAAGATGCTTAAAATAAAATTGTACAATGTTTATTTTGCTAGCTCGTATTGTTATTCATAAGATGAATAATTAATCAGTGCAAGTTAATCAACTAAAAAAAGTGTTTGTTATGGTAATCTTCAATGAAAGTCTGAGCATTAGCTTTTGCCTTTTGAGTAGCAGTCCTTCTATTGACATCAACCTAAAGGTTTCCATAGCAATTGTATATTAATACCCTCTCTTACTGTTAGTTTGTGCAAAAAAGCTCCGCCTTTTACACAATATTCCATTGTGGTGAAAAATCGAGTCCCCGCTCTGGAATCGAAGCCGCTTAGGTACAGAAATAAAACATAAATGAAAATGTCTTGTCTTAGTCCTATCAAAATAGCAAACACTGAACATCTTTCTATATTTAGGCTGCTTTATTTATTTATTTATTTATTTAAGACTACTTATTTGTACTAAATGTTTGTGCTTTCATTTTAGTTGTCTTTTACTTCTTCAATTTTATTTTCCAAAACGAATCCTCTTTGCACTTCAAAAGTTTACAATAAAGCGTGTTAACAAATTTTAAATGATTAATGAAGGAATTATAATGCTTTGACTTATTGTTTAATATCATTTACAAGCACAGTAGCTGCTGTATGGGCTATTTCTGTCCGTTCGCATCCCGTCCCTTTGCGCCCCCTGGCGGCTCATTCACAAACTGCGGTCATACACTAAAAACAGAGCGGCACCTATTTCAAACGGCGGCGGTACATGCTGCGGCGTTAATAGCCACTTTGAACTCTCACCTACTGTACCCCTAAGGCAGTGGTTCTCAAAGTGGTTCTCGAGGGG